AACATCACAGCCAAGGCCCATATCAACAGACAGGGGGGAACAAGGTCCAAGCCTCTCATGCAGGAGGCCAGATTGCTGGGGTCTTGGGCGGAACTGAATCTTGCCTCCATCAGGGCGGAGCACATATCCGGAGTGGCCGACCAGCAGGCGGACTCACTGAGCAGAGCCACCGTGGACCATTCCGAATGGCAGCTGGATCCGAAGATCTTGAGATCGTGGATAGGTTTGGTTCCCCAATCCTAGATCTGTTTGCCTCCCCAGCCAACTCACAGCTTCCCAGATTCCTTTCCAGGTTCCCGTCTCCATCAGCAGAGGGAACAGATGCACTCCGCAGTCCCTGGCCCAGGGAACTGCCCTATGCCTTTCCTCCCCTGCCCCTTCTACCTGCCACAATCAGGAAGATCCTTCGCGAACAAGCAGAGGTCCTCCTGGTCGACCCACATTGGCCGAGACGATCTTGGTTCGCTGACCTGATGGAGCTCTCCGCATCCCCTCCATGGAGGATTCCAGCCAATCGGATCTCCCTCATTCAGGGGGAGTTACATCATCCGGACCCTCAATGGCTCCAGTTAACCGTCTGGCACTTGAGAGGCAGGCCTTAGGCCTAGACGCATATTCGTCAAGGGTCATAGCCATGATCCAGCAATCCAGGCGACCCTCGACGAATAGAATATACGATGCCACGTGGGAAAGCTTCTGTAATTGGTGTTTAGCTCACAAAATTGAACCCTTACAGGCTGCAGTGCCAGTTATCTTGGAGTTCCTGATGGATGGTCTGGACAAAGGGCTTTCCACAAGCACCATCCGTAGGCAGGTAGCAGCACTTGCCACGGTTATTTCCTGTGGCAAGGAATCCTTAACACAGCACCCTATGATACGCTCCTTCCTAAAGGGAGCTAACAATGCCAGACCACCAACGGTACATAGATATCCCTCCTGGGACCTTCTTCAGGTTCTACAGGCTCTTGTCTCACCACCCTTTGAGCCTATTGACACTTGTTTGCTCAAACAATTATCAATGAAGGTGGCATTTCTGGTTGCTATAACTTCAGCCAGAAGAATCTCTGAGCTGGCTGCCCTGTCAGTAAGAAAGGACCTGTGTATTTTCCATATGGACAGGGTTACTCTCAGGTTAGATCCCTCTTTCGTGCCCAAGGTCAACTCCTTGTATCATAGGTCACAGGACATAGTTTTGCCGGACTTCTGTCCTAACCCATCTAATGACACAGAGGCTCAGTGGAACAGATTGGATGTTCGCAGGGCCTTATATTGCTATATACAGAGGACCTCATCCTTCTGCAAGACTGAGGCTCTGTTGTGTCATTTCACCCTTCGTCGTTAGGACAAAAGGTTTCCTCACCCACTATAGGCAGGTGGATTAGAGCTTGTATTTCTCTGGCATACCAGACTCAGTCACTTCAAGCTCCCAGCCGTATCACGGCCCATTCCACCAGGGGCACAGCCACTACAGCAGCCTGGTCTACCCAGGCATCCATAGAGGAAGTTTGTAGGGCAGCAACATGGGCATCGCCCTCCTCCTTTGTCCGTCACTACAAGATGGATGTATATGCATCTTCTACGGCTTCATTTGGCCACAAGGTACTAGAACACACATTAACATTGGATGGGACCCAGGCCCAATCTAATTCCCCAGCCTAGGGACACAGGGCTTTGGTATGTCCCATCCGTGGGTTCTCCATCCAATCATGCTGGAGAAAGGGGCGTTGTCTTACCTGAACGCCTTTTCTCAGCATGATGATGGAGAATCCACTCCCTCCCATTAGGTCAGTTGGCCTGGTTCCCATTTGTTCAGACGCGTCGGACTAAAGTCTGGGTATCGCCTTAGTCTAAAACTGGGGTGCACTTGGCACAGAGGGGGCGTTACCAATTTCAGACTTAGTCCAATTGGAGCAGATAGATTAAGACAACCCATCCGTGGATTCTCCATCATCATGCTGAGAAAAGGCGTTCAGGTAAGACAACGCCCCTTTCTATGATTCTAAAGTACACTAAGCATGTGCAATAGGTATGGAATGTTTACTGACTACTGGAGGACAGAGCAGGCACTTCCATTAGACAGTGAAGTAGTTGTTCCAGGCAGCAGACTTTGAATATTATGCATCCTGTAAGGGCTGAAAACAGCCAATCAATTGTTGCTGTTATTGGAAAGTGATTTGGTGATTTTGGTGATTTTGTTCCTTAGGTGCCAAAAATAATTGGCTATTTTTTAAGATATTCTGAATCTTCCTTTTCAAAAGTGTCGAGCCATTTGCTTATGATATAAGATATCCTGGATCAGCTCCGCAAAGGCGAAAGCAGAAAAATCAGGGGAAGATAGATGCTGGATCATGGATGGCAAAGAATCATTTATTTATTTATTTATTTATTTATTTATTTATTTATTTATTTATTTATTTATTTATTTATTTTTACAGCCTTAGCTGTATAAAAGCAGAAGTAATTTAGAATGCAGGCCTAATTAGAAGACTACACGGGTGTTGCTTAGCAGCCAGTGGATGTCAAGGACATTGTTTTGAATATATTGTATTGTAGACTGCATATTGCTCTCAAGCCTCTTCTGATGTAATCTGCTGAAAATTTTATTTGAACAAAACCCTGCTTTACTTAGATAATTTTGGTAATAGGGCAATGGAGTAGGTGCATGAAACCTAGGTAGGAATTCCCCATACAGCAATATTTTATTGTGGGTTCAGTTAGATAGATTTAAATTCAAGGTTATATTAATTATTGGGGATATGTGGCAATTTGGATTTGATTCTAAAACTTTACTTCTGAGCAAGCAAAGAAGCCTAGCATCTATTTGCAACCCTTTAGGCTGGCTATATCTTTTCCTAGTTATTTTTACTTTCTATATAATTACTGCATATTCCACAAGAAAGAATCTGAACTATCCATTTTTAATATATTTCAGCAAATTATTTCCTAGACAAATTGTTCTACATGAAAATTTCATCCATCTCATCTTTATCACATCTAAATAGATTGATTCTGTCCCCATACTTAATCCAGTCCCTCATTCAGATATCTTTACTGGTAATTCCAGTAGCATATGATACAAAGAACCACTTGAAATCTATCCTCCATTTTTTTTAGGAAGTCCTGGTACTATCTTAATCCATGTTCTGTACTCGAAAACATCATTAATCACTAATCCCTTCTCCATTAACTAGGGCAGCAGATATAGCAACACACTGGTTATTGTTACCATTTGGGAAGCATGTTCTTTCTATCAAGGTTCAGTAAGAAAACCTCTATCTCGCCAATGAAATTGAAGAACTGAATCTGCATAATGAGTCAGTTGATTGACTTTAGGTATTTTCACTACAAGACTGATTGGGTAGAATCAACTCAATATTTCACTATAATCTGCTGGGACTGTCCTTAGTTAACAACAGTAATTGGCATTGCATACTCCATTGCTAATGGTGTCACCTGGCCACATTGACTTATGATGGCAGTTCCAGCAGTTCTGGTTGAAGTTGTTAGGTATAATGTCATAGGATCTCCATTTGCCACCTCCTACTGGCTTCTCCATTGATCATGTGATTGTGAGGACATTGCAATGGTTGCAATTTTGAGGACTGGCCTCAAGTCTCCTCATTCAATGATGTAACTTTGAATAGTCACTGAATGAATGGTAATTATAAATGAAATATCTGTAAATGTACCCACATGGACATAAATTATGTGGGCCAATTAATTCCTTCAGTGCTTTTACTAACATGTTATAACCCCATATCCTGGCTCAGTTAAGCATGTGAGGGGAAACAGAAATTAGGAAGCTTTAAGTATTGAAAGTACAATTACTTTTTAAATGTTTTTGAAAGAGTTTTAAAAATACCCCTTGGACAAATATGATTTTAATATGCTGAGTATACTTCCTTTGAAAGGACATTACAAATAAAATTACAAGAAGGGCTAGCATTTGTTTTCCTCCTGAATGGAAAAGAGAAAGTCTTCAACATATGAGAGGAGAGGAATATCTTCATACATTTGGGCCCTAGATCATTTTAATTAGCATTTTGGACTGGGCTCAATATCAATCAATGTTGCTTTCCAGATGTAATATAAGTAGAGAAACTAAGCAAAATTCTAGTAGCAGCATTTTGTTCCAGTCAGGGGTATTATCAAAATTATGGAGGAAATTTCTCCAAAATTTATTATGTTACCACTTCAAAATGAGAAATATTTAATAATAAGGTATTACAGCAGGAATGGCTGTTAGACAGAGGTTCTCAACATTTGTGATGTCTTTAATCATTAAAATTTCAAATAAGCCTGACTTTTTTCATCACAAGTTCATGAGGCCACAAATTTAAAAATAAATAATAAAGTTTGGCTAAAGATAATAATTCAATGTAAGTTAAATTGAACCCTTTATGATATGCAAATGCTTTTCAATATAAGTCAGATTTTCTGGCAAGAGCACAGAAAAAGTACATTTTAGGCTTAGCAACTATTTAATAATCAGTTCTCACGATTTGGGCTGATCCATGTAGATATCTCCTTGGAGCATTTTTATATTATATTATCTATTAATATAAGCAGGACTTCAAGGTAGAGTTTGCAATCATGCATAAATTTTTTTTCCTTGTAATGTTTAATTCCTTTAGAGAAACAACAAATTTTACAAACATGCAAATGTTAACCCACTAGAAATAGGCCAATAAATGAATATGGTACATAACAAAGCATATGATAGTGTTTCTCAGAAGAAATGATTTGCAGGAAGCCTCAAATTCACATCCTAGCATCCCTATCCAGGATAGGAGGAGAAAAACCCTCCATCTACAATCTTGGAGAAATATTACCAGTTTATGTTGCCAATGCTGAGCTGGCTAAACTAATACTCTGACTCATTTTAAGCCAGCATACTATAGTCTTTCAATATTTCTGTTACAGAAATATAAAACATATCATAATATAATGATATACTCTGTTCTTCTAGCCCTTTTAGTATTTCTGTCAATGTCACTTACTTTTGAGATCCAAGTTTCTTGCTCCTGCCGTGCTTTGTGTTGTGATTTTTGTGTCAATTTTTACAGTGTGGAGATTATTGGTATCCCGTGATATCATTACATTGTGCCACTGATTGTCATTCAGAGGTTTATTGGAACTTCCCTTGATAAGATTTGCACCATTTCCCAAATCAAACACATAATGTAAATACCTGTAAACAAAAAAGAAAAACAGCTAATTTGAGTAGGTAGATGAAAATTACAGCTCTTTGTTGCTTCTTTTCTTTATTTAAATTATTTGGCAATTTATAAAGTTCTTAGTTAACTGCTCTTACATTTAACAAGGCTAATTTGGGACAGATCAAAATATCTATGTCAAGAATGTTGAGAGAATTAAAAGAAAAAATGTAGAATATTTTTCTTAGAATATTGAGCAAAATTGCCTCCTTAATATGTCATATATTAAAGATATTGCTGAAAGAAATTATAACCACTTCTGCTCCTTTTCCCTGCCTTAGCCCACTAATTCTTTTATTCATCAAGTACAGTATTAAACAGCAGTATTAATTCAGCTGAAATCTCTAGAAGATTTTTTTTTTATTTTTTCCAACTTTTATGACTTGTAAGTTTTATTTTTCCCTGCCAAACTTACCCTATCCCTATTAAAGCCATACAAATAAACTGAAATCATTTTGGAGTTTATTTTCTTTCATCACTAGCTCTGTCTAAAAGTCTCAATATGTAAACTGGCAATATATTTTAAAAAGGAAAGAAAGAAAGAAAGAAAGAAAGAAAGAAAGAAAGAAAGAAAGAAAGAAAGAAAGACTTAATATAGTGCAATACTTTACTGCTTTATCCAAACTATTGAATTTTTGTAGATTTCCCCAGTGAAAATTTTGTATTTCTCAAAAGAGAAATTACATTTCTTGATTAAAATTACAAGTCATTTCAAAGAATGATAATTCCCTGGGAAGATATAGCTACTATATATTTAAATATTTACAGCAAATAGGTCCAGTCAGTTTTCAAACAAGTAACTTCTCTCTTAGCAGAGAAGATGTTGGACCTCCTAGACTTTGCCAATTGTCTTTCTCATAGGATTTCAACACATGTACATTTTTCTTGTAAGGTAATTACTCCAGAGAGAAGATCTGAAAAAGATCATAGGGCTCTAGTTTTTAGACAAAGCCCATCAGCAGTTATATCAGTGTGGAACTTCCAGCCATAGGCTTAACTACCAAGAGGACCAGTGTGATGATGATAATCATCATCATTATTATTTCACAGAATAAATTTATATCCTAGTTCCAGTACAGAATGGCCAAAATGTCCTTGAGTAATGTTAAGCTCTGGACATTTGGAAACATAGAAAGGTCATTTTCTGTTGCCACTGGCAAATAAATTCCAGCTGAGGAACTAGTGATGTAACAGGAGGCTCATAGGACATATTTTGTCTACTTTTTTCAATGGAAAAGAAAAATGAAAATACTTTACATAAGTGACAAAATAAATGATGTGGGATGAAAATGAATGAATACACTTTTCTGAAAGCTCCCTTCCCATCCAAAACTAGCTTTATTAAAATGTGTTTCAAATCCAGAATAGTGAGAAGCCAGATTAATTTTCTTAGAACATGGCTTTTACCAAAATAATACTGGGGAATGCTTCACTTTAACAAGCAGGTAGATTTTGTCAGAGGTCCACTTACAATTAAAGGGTGATCCCTCTGCTCTATTTCCCTTTTATAGTATAGACATGATCCTCCTTGTGAAGGACCCATCTCTATTCTTTGTATATTTAAATATATAAATAATATTTTAATCCTCCTTAAATGTTGTCTTGAATGTTGTTTTAATTCTCACTGAGGTCAGCTGCAATCAACATCTGCTATCCTGAGCCTGTGCAGGAACAACCATTGTTAGAAATGATACTAGTATACATAGGAAATCTTGATAATCACTCTGTTAACCAAAAGTTTACACTGGAGAAAAATGATCTGAAACTGCAGTATGAAAAACATTATCCAAATATGTATTTCTTAGAAGGATAGACAGTGCTCAGTTTTAAAGACACAGGAACTCACACTGCTGCATCAGAACAAAGGTCATAGAGTCCAAGATCTTGCCTAAAAACATGAACATTCATTAAGCTTTTTGAGCTGATAACATCTTTGAAACAGGTTGCATACACACCCTTTTACTAATTCAACTACAATAAAGTCATTGCCATCTCCACTGTTGTAAAGTATTAACCCATCCAATGATGTTGTTTTGAACTGGAAAAACAGGTGCATAGATGTATATGCTTGCAATGTGGCAAGAGCTACATAGCTGGCTTTCGTTTTAAAGGTGACTGGGTCAGCAATGATGTTCCGGAAGCCAAAGCGGGCATTTAGTTCACAGTAGTCAATGTCCCCATTTTTACACAAATCAATGTATGCCATGCCATTAAAAGTGAGGCTTTGCAGATGACCAATGAAGTTGGAAGGGACTGAGGACAAGTAACGCCGTTCTGTTATGATTCCCGTCTCTATATTATGGAATTCCAGTCTTGTATGATCCCCAGCCATTTGACCTTTAAATAAAAAGCAATTTTGAGAAGTTAATGTTATAGCCAAAAAGCTAGGGCTATTTCAAATGCTTGAAGTCTCTTACACAAACATGGTCTAACCACATAATTCTACCACATGTATTTTCACATAGAAAGTGTATGTGCTGGAAGTGCCCATTTGTTTAGTACTTTTCTTTTATTATATTTAAGAAAAACTGAGTGCATAACTTACAAGTGAAATGAGTCAAGCATCAAAGTTATCCTAATTTAAGGCAATCAAAACAAGGAAAAACTATGTTAATTTAACCAAATTGGTGGGAGAATCTCAATGAATAGTAAACAGAATAAAATCTTTATGAGTATTCTATTTGAACATTCAAATTTAGGTTTGAAGGCTTGTCACCCTGTACCACTAGGAGCTCTGCTAATTACAAAATATGAAAACAATAGGTCTAAGATTTTTCCATTTTTTAGAGTGGAATAATTTGTATCTATCTTTAAAAGGATATTGGAAAAAAGAGTCATTTATTGAAGAAAGTGCCTTTTATTATTATTTTGGTCTACAACACATACATACACACACACGGAAAATTATCACTTATCTGGGCTTTAATGAGCCTAACTCTAGGCCAATGAAAATATGTTGGGCCAATAGCCTAGGCAAATCATGTTGAAACACAGAACTACACATGGTTGAAAGTTATTGTAACATTAAGAAACAAGACGAAAGAACAATCCAAACAATCCAAACAATCCAAACAAGCAAAATGTCTTCTGGAAAAAAAAATCTGATTTTTCATCCAGAATGCTGCATAAAAAGTTATGCAGATACTATCATTGGAATCTTTTTAGCCAGACTTGGCTTAATTGCTCTCAACTTAGGCTCTCTTCTTGCACATCGTAAAAGTTGGAGTCAGTTGAATGATTTGAAATGAGGTAAAATAACAGACAATGCAAGAGAAATACAGTCTTTGCTCTTCTGGGTTTCTTGCCAGCACTTCCCACTTAAATCAGTTCTTGGATTTGATGATATAATTATGGTAGAGAAAAGTAAATTAGTATGTTGGAATAGGGAAAAGAGTATCACATTTTTTGACTCAACTACAATTCTTACCCAGGATGCAGTCACAGATTGGATGTATTGTTTCAAACAAATATGTGAACTTTGGCTGCCTTCAATTTTATTATATCATTATATCTATATATATCATTTTTCCTAATTCTGTTTTCCTTCTCTTTGCTTCAATCTATCAGAAGGTGTCCTCTCCCAGTACCATACATGGATTTTTTAAAAAATGTTCTTTGTTGTATTTTCTGCCTATATCCATAAACCTCTGTGGATCCTTACAATTAAGGTTAGCGTATGACAAGTAAGGGAATCTAAATGATTTTCACCATCAGAGCAATCATCATTAAACACATACTGAAAGGAAAATTAAGCAAATAGTTATTAGTCATTATTACCTGTCATGGCTTGTTGGTCATCTACTATTAACTTTAAACTTTTTCCTCTTCGAACTACACGTACTGTGTGCCATTCATTGTCATTGAGGTTATATCCAGCAAAAAGAGTCTCTGGACCTTTGCCTGTAGGGTATGCCAAACAGTTTATTATGGTATTTTTACATCATTCAATATGTGAACCTCAGAGAGAGAGACAGAGAGAAAGAGAAAGAGAGAGAGAGAAAGATAGGGGACAAAGAGAGAAGGAGAGAAACACAACAAGAAACAGAACCAAAAGAGAGACACTTTTGCTGGAGCAAAATAAATAAATGAATAGTAATAATTTTAAAATAACAGTACATGTTTGAAAGACTTATCAAACAATAGATAGACTTCAAAAGGCAGGCATGTTCTCTCACTAATACACACACACAAATAAAAACCTGTTTCATAAATTGACACAATCAACACAGAGCTGGTAGCTACTAGTGATACAGATTTGCCTAAGTTGCATCTTTTCAGTAAAGCTAATTAAGTAGAAATTAAGTTAAAAATGAAAATTATTGAGAAATAGAATAAGTGTTTGAAACTGGCATGTTATTGTCTTTGTGTATGCCTAAAGTAATTTATTTTTATCCCATTTCTATTATTTTTAAAATAACTCAAGGCAAGGAATATTAGAATATCTGAACTAAGATTGCTAAAATATATCATAAGAAATTGTTTGAACAATAATACTGCTTTAACAACAGCTTGAACTCTCCATTTGTGGAGAGTAGAGCAGAGACTCTCTGATGCATTTGCTCTGCAAGATTGCAGAGCATATGCAGCTTTCTAAGGCCATGTTTGTCAATGTTTGAGAGATTGATGGAGGTCCATTAGATAGGGAAAAGCAAACAATGTTTGAAACACCTTTTAAATGTTCGAGCCATATGCAGATGGGATTCATTTGGGAGCTAATACCAATACATTATTGTATTCTTCTCAGAGTTTGAGCAAGGCTTCTGTATCTATATCTCTCGCCTGCAAAAAATAAATATTTGCCAAACTGACTTCCAGTCACACAGGAAAGATGATTACAATAAAATAAGTACTACAACTTTGCAATATACAGCTGAGATTTACTATACAGGCTGAGAGTATAAATAAGTTCTTGACTTACAACCACAATTGCGATAGAAATCTCAGTTGTTATGCAAAGTGTTGAGTCGATTTACCCACATGACTGCTTCTCTCAACATCTGTTTCCTGATCGTGGTTGTTAAACAAATGCATGGGTTGTTAAGTGGGCAGAGTCTCAGGTAAGGAGCACAGGATACCCTGGGTGGAAGGGCCTGGGAAGCTCTGATTAGGAGCTGAAAATCCCTGCTGAAATTATAGCAGAATTTTCAGCCCCTGAGGCAGAAACACTTCCATGTGGCCTGCACTGGGCCTTCCAGGGCTTCTCCGATCCACCTGAGGCCCCCATGCTCCTTACCTGAGACTCTGTCCACTTAACAACTATATTCATCCATCCATCCATCCATCCATCTATCCATCCATCCATCCATCCATACAAATTTATTTACTTACTTATTTAAATGTATTTATTTATATTATTTATTACATTTCTTTGCCACCCATCTTTTCTTTAAAAGTTGGAAAATGAACAGCTACTGATATCTAGTGGAGAATTAGAGGAAACTATAGCTGCATTGACTCAGAATTTGGCAAGATGCCATTAATAGCAAAAAAAAAAAGCAGGGAACAAAGCATTGGGCTATCTACTACAGGGTGAAAATATATATGTTTAGAAACTGCTGATCTTCTAGGATTATAAATACACTAAGCTGCATTTTTAAGTTTAAGAACTGTTTGCAGAGAAAGAAAAACCTTGGCCTTTGGCTAATCTTCTAAAGAGAAAGTAACTGAAAGTTTTCAGGTGGTTAAACACTTTGGACTGAAATCTTGGCTGGCTGATAATCATAAGACCCCTGAAAAGAAGAACTGTTACAAATACTGTTTTCAGTGGTGCTTTGATAATTAGAAACATATTGGATTACAAAAACCATATATTAAGATAAGAATTACATAAGATTTGGTTGTTTGGATTTTAAGATGGGCTGGTTTGATAAAGCTAATTAAAAAGACTATAGTACCAGTAAAAAACTACTTAGAGGAGGGAGACAAAATGGATGTTGTAAATTAACTAAAAGTGACAGAAAACCACACCTAACATCTCCTCCTGAAGAACCCAGCTTGGAACATCAGAAATCTGCAGGAATAATGACTCAAGACAAAGCAAATACATTCCAGGAGAAAATATGTGCAATGTGTGACAGATCCAAATGACAATTGTCTCAAATCATGATGAGATTAAAAACAACTTTGATAACATAAATGAACATATCTCTAATCTAAACTCACAATTAAACAATGCTCAAAAATGATGATAAAGAATGAACATTTAGGCAAGAAAAACCAAATGCACAAGTACAGCATAGGTGGCACCATGCTCAATAGTAGTAACTGTGAGAGGGACCTCGGAGTCCTAGTAGACAATCACTTAAATATGAGCCAGCAGTGTGCTGCAGCTGCCAAAAAGGCCAACACAGTGCTAGGCTGCATTAACAGAGGGATAGAATCAAGATCACGTGAAGTATTAATACCACTCTTCAATGCCTTGGTAAGGCCACACTTGGAATACTGCATCCAGTTTTGGTCACCACGATGTAAAAAAGATGTTGAGACTCTAGAAAGAGTACAGAGAAGAGCAACAAAGATGATTAGGGGACTGGAGGCTAAAACATATAAGGAATGGTTGCTAGAATTGGGTATGTCTAGTTTAACGAAGAGAAGGACAAGGGGGGACATGATAGCAGTATTCCAATATCTCAGGGCTGCCATAAAGAAGAGGGAATCAAGCTATTTTCCAAAGCACCTGAAGGCAGAACAAGAAGCAACGGGTGGAAACTAATCAAGGAGAGAAGCAACCTAGAACTAAGGAGAAACTTCCTGACAGTGAGAACAATTAATCAGTGGAACAGCTTGCCTCCATAAGCAGTAAATGCTCCAACACTGGAAGTTTTTAAGAAGAGACTGGACAGCCATTTGTCCGAAATGGTGTAGGGTTTCCTGCCCGAGCAGGGGGTTGGACTAGATGACCTCCAAGGTCCCTTCCAACTTTACTACTATTACTATTACTAAATCAGACAATAGAATATAAACCAGAGGAAAATGACTTAAATATGAAGCTACAAATGAAGAGAACTACAACTTAATAAAAACAAAAGAAAATTAGCAAACTTTTGCTACAACAATGGAAATAAAAAAGATGTTTTATCTTCCAGGACTTCAAAACAAACTTGAGGACAAAAAAGGAGATTTAATACAATGGATTAAAGAGCTGTCAGGAGAATCATTAAAGTATGGGAGATAAAAATGAATATTTTATTTAATTTGTCTTTTTTATTCCCAAAAATATGTACAAAAGCACAACCTGGCAAGCTAAATGTACTGATTTGGAAAGTGAACTGGCAAAAGAAGAAGATTAGAATTAGATTAAGGAGATGTGATTCAACCTATCAGATGGAATACTATATGACTAAACACCTGTTTGAATACAGTTAAAAAATATAAAGTTTGGATATAAAGAGGCCCTATAGTAAGATTGCTAGATGGTGTACTATATGATTAAATACTTAATTGAATATGGTCAAAAGAATAGACAAAACGTGGACAAAAAGGGGCCCTATAGTAAGAGAGATAAGATATGTAAATAGTATAATACTTTTATAATATATGAAATGTAAAAATATTGAGACAGTCTATTTGAATGAAAAGTTTGGATATTCTAAGGTAATTAATTTTGAGAAAATTATGACTGATAAGAGTGGTTTCAATAATGAGGGGAAATTAGGCTTAAATAAGAATCTTGAAAACAGGACATATAATGACTTAATAAGATGACCTATAAATACAATTGAAACATAAGCTGATTAGAAAAGATGTTATATATTGATGTTATTGTTATATGTACAAATACTAGAAAAATGTTTATACCCAACTTTGTATGTATTGATAATATTAAGAGTTATATTTGTTTAATGCAGACAAAAAGAGAATATTACTGGAAGAAGAGAAGATCAAGGAAATGTATTATTAACTAACATATTGATCAATTATAGAAATTAATTATTATTGATTGTTTTTAAATATATGAACCCAGACAACACATTGTTCACTAAGCACTAAAGACTATTATTGTAAAAATTAATACATATATTAAAAAAGGAGAAAGGTGTAGAATTTGCTTCTTGAATTAAATAATTATGGTTGTAGTATTAAGAATATTTTTATGAACAAAAATGATAATCACTGATATATTCTAAATGGATGGATTTTTTTAAAAAAATATTTTTAATTAATGAGAGATCCGTAGTGCTCTCTGAGCTTGGTTATTTTCTTGCAAACATTTCATTACCCAAACTAGGTAACATCATCAATGCTAGCAGGGAGTGGGTGTCACTCTCAATTTATACTCTAGTGGCTTGCCCTGTCAGGGTTTGTTGGAGTGGTCTTGGAGGTTCGTTGGCTGGGCAGTTTACTGTTAGCTTGTTTGGAAGTTCCTTGATTGTTTACTTCTTGATTCTTGGTCTGATGTTAATCTTGGTGTTAATCTTGGATGGTCATAGTTTCCCAGTTGTTTCCCAATTCATCTGGAAAACTGTGACCATCCTAGACCCGACCAAGGGCAAAAACACTAGAGCAAGAGTCCCCAACCCATGGCCCACTACAGAACTATGCCTATTCAGAACCAGGCCGCACGAGAGCTGAGCCAACATGCACGTGTGTATTCAGCTCAAAATGTGCACACATGCACAGCTCAACTCACACAAGCAGGGGGCCAGTGCACACATGGATGCACAGCTCAACTTATAGTCAAAATGCATATGCATGTGCATCCACACTGGCCCGCTGCTTGTGTGCGTATGCCAGCCCAATGCTTCTTGAGTGGCCTGGTTCCCCTCCCCCCCCAGTCAGGCCACCAAGCTGCAAAGATTGGGGACCACTGCACTAAAGAATTCCTGAAAGCCTGGCATTCTGAAAAATCGGCCATCATTAGACACATAGACATAAACAACATCCACATACTGTTCAAAGGT